GAGATTTACCGCGTTAATGCAGTTATGCCAATAACGTCATTTCAACGAGATTAACGCTGACGGCACTAGAATAAAGTGATAGCTGCCACCTGGTGCACTGTTTCTACTGGATAATCTATTAACTTTCTAACATATGTCTGCTTTGTTATTCCAGTTTGTAACTTCTTCACGGGTCTTTGAAATAAAGTCTGTGTAAAATTTGTTTTAGAACTAATTAGCAAATTTAATGATCGCAGCATTTGTCTTACAAAAACAGAAACAGTCCTCGTGGCTGGCCAGAGGGATGCTGTGGCTTATGTTGGCACTTCCACCTCTTTTGTAAAGATTCAGAGGACCGAGTAGAGGAGGAGAAAACATCAGAGTTTTACAGAAATCTATTTTGAGGCTTGTTTTCAGTCAGGGTGAAAATAACCACAAGGATATCGCCATTTTTACTGACTTTAGCATTAGGGATCTGTGTGTCACCCTGCATATTAACCTGTACACGGTGGTTTGTTTAATGGGTGAAGCTGATGTTCTGAAATCAAGAGTCTAAATTCCCAGTAATGGCCCAGTGAAACTGAAGTTTAAAGTTCATTTATTTTGTTTAAGAAAATAACTGTAACTCATTCACGTTGCACCTGCTTGAAATCGAGTCTGAGGATGCTCATAGTGTGAGTACACGGAGTGTGTTTGTATGACCGTTTCTTCTGCTTCTTTTGGCATCAGAGTAATACATTTAAGCTCTCACAATTCAGAATTTACACAATTATCATAATGAGGAAAATTCCTGTAGCATGAGGGAAGAGGGTTGCCTTGCCAGTTAGAGCAATTAGAGTTACGTCAATTAAAGCAAATTAAAGGCCAGAGGAAGACTTATGAGTCCTTCCTGTGCGGGAAGGAAGAACAAATCAAAACTAATACAGCTAACAGGCTGACCCATGGGACGAGGGAATGGCTAGAACGCTATTCCCAGTACACACACCATCACAGAGTGCACATGATGAGCCATAATGTGGATTTTTCCTCTACAGCATGTTCTCCTGGCTTCTACGGCCATCGTTGCAGTCAGATGTGTCCTCAGTGTGTCCACAGCGATGGGGCGTGCCACCACATCACCGGCCACTGCAAATGTCTCGCTGGATTTTTTGGCTCCCTCTGCAATGAAGGTCAGTTTGTCTGATTCCATTAAAAAGTAATTCAGAAGTACAGAAGTAGAAACACTTCATAATTACAAATAAGTGTCATTAACC